TCCCATCACTGAGTGTGTGGGTTCTCCACCCGCTATTACTCACAACGTGGCTTCCCACAGGAAATGCTGGATTTTTACTCTGGATCACTCTAAAGGAAAACAGCAACATAATATTAAAACAAAATAGTCTGTGCTGACACTGGGATAACTCATTTTACTAACACAGCTGGCTGAAATTAAACTGTTCAACTGGACTGTCTTTGTTTCAAGTTTCTTTTTTAACAAAGTCTTGAAGATACATGAGCGTCAGTGTGATGAATAATGTATGTAGAAGTAAAAACAGAGTTTACTTAAAGGTGTGTCTTTTTGATGTCTCAGTTTGTAAAAATGAATCCTGGTCTAATAACAATCTTACTGACAGTGAACAACTTACTGCTATTCACCCAGAATATTTGCTGGTGCTTTGATTTATTTAGGTTCAGCTTCAACAGCCTTCTCCTTGTGATTAAAGGGGGGCTGGAGCTTGGGTGGTAGAGCAGGTCACCTACTAACTGAAAGGTTGGTGGTTTGATCCCAGTCTGCTCCAGTCTGCATGTCAAATATCCTTGGGCGAGATACTAACCCCATGTTTCCCTCCGATGCAATCATCAGAGTGTGAAAGTTAGATAGGAAGCACTTAGAAACAGCGTAGAAAGAAAGTTCTTGTGTGAATGGGTCTGAATGTATAAGTTGTGTAAAGCGCATAGAGTGCTCAGATAGAGTAGAAAAGCGCTATATAAAGACCAGTCCATTTATCATTCTTCCTTTTACATAAATCACTGTGGTTAAACCCTCTTGATCTTGTTTGGTGAGTGTGATCTTTGTGCTTTTTTATATTAATCCCCACCTTTCAATTTAATCTGCTCCCTGAGCATAGCAGTGGGAATCTGTGTTTCTTTTACTATCTGCATTTTTGAATCCCTGCATATAAATACTGTATACAGCAAAGATATACTTCTGCCTTCTGTGTCAGTAAACGTACACATCACAGCACATCATATAAGATGTAGCTCAGGTGGCAGAGCGGATTAGCCACTAACCAGAAGGTCGGTGGTTCGATCCCAGGCTGCTCCAGTCTGCATGCCAAATATCCTTGGGCAAGATACTAACCCCATGTTGCTCTCTGATGCATCCATCGGAGTGTGAATGTGTATGAATGTTAGATACTTAGCACTTAAGCTTAGAAGTGCTTGTGTGAATGAATTAGCTGTATAAAGCGCTTTGAGTGCCCGGACAGAGTAGAAAAGCGCTATATAAGAACCAGTCCATTTACCATAAGAGTTTTCTGTGTGCAGGTGTGTTTGCGTTTCTTACTTGGCCACCTGACCTCCAATCATCACATCTCCCTCCTTCATGTGGGTTTTGCTGAACGACCTGTTGAGACCAGCGGTGTGTTACAATATGTATTTATATCAGGAGCATTGAAATAGTTCAGTAATGAGTGATGCTGCTCTCTGATCACCTCATGTACGGGTCGACACTGAGAAACACAGCTTCCAACAGCACCTCTGCAAACAAAACTAAACTCATTTAAAGTGCTCGATGCTTAATGTTTGACAAAAAC